AGAGGTAAAAATCAGAGAGAAACCAGATGAGAAAACAATGTTAAACAAATCTGAAAAAAGTTGGTTTTTAAGAATATGTTTCCTTTAAGCTACTTTATGGGTTGTAATTATGACATTCACCAGTAGATGGTGGTGTTTCTCATCTTTGTTCAGGGCTACATTAATACAGATATTGTGTGGGTCTGAGGAGCAGTCTAGTGCTCTGGTCTCTCTCTCTCTCTCTGTTCTCGCTCTCTCTATTCTCACTCTGGTCTCTCTCTGGTCTCTCTCTGGTCTCTCTCTGGTCTCTGCAGCTTGACCCGGAAACCGCATGACATGTCTCTTTACACGCCCTGACATCTCTGTACATACTCCCCAGTCTCCCCCACCTCCCCCCTCATCCTCCCCCGTACTCATAATCCCTCCACAAAAAACAGAAACACAAAAGCAAACCCCGGCTCAGTCCCACAAAAGGCCCGGACGGAGCGCACAAAGCGACAACGCCCACCTGCCAGCCAGCCCCTTCTCCGATCCCTGCCCCAGGCCACGGATCAGGACCCGGGCCCCTGGATCCCACTGCTCCACACCTCCACACCGCGGATCGGGACTCATGCGCTCCCGTGTTCTTCCGAGTCCTCTGCATTGGATTAACGAAATATGGAGTGAAGTGTGAAATATGCTGCCTCTGCCTCCTGGTGTTTGATGATGTCTACATTCAGTGGCAGGTGAAGAATAACAGGGTTTTTCACGGAGCAGAACCTTTGACGATGGTGCCTCTTTCTAACATCTGTATTTGGTGCTCTACTTTAAGTTGTGCTGGAGAAGTATAGAAACGGCACTATCCTCTCCTCTCTCCAATTATCTCTCAGTTATTTCTTCAGTTGTAGTCTGTTCATTGCTATTCACTCACTGTCCCATTGTCTGTTAACCAGGCCTTCTATCTGCACCTGTGAACTGGTCGCAACCCGGGCCGAACTCATGGGCTGCAACTCCCTCCCCTCCTGGAGTCACTCTGAAGTAGAACCAGCCTCAGTCCTGGATCTACAGCCTCAGTCCTGGATCTACAGCCTCAGTCCTGGGTCTACAGCCTCAGTCCTGGATCTACAGCCTCAGTCCTGGATCTACAGCCTCAGTCCTGGGTCTACAGCCTCAGGCCTGGTTCTACAGCCTCAGTCCTGGATCTACAGCCTCAGTCCTGGATCTACAGCCTCAGTCCTGGATCTACAGCCTCAGTCCTGGAGCTACTACAGCTCGCTCAGTCCTGGATCTACAGCCTCAGTCCTGGATCTACAGCCTCAGTCCTGGTCTCAGCCTCAGTCCTGGCTACAGCCTCTCAGTCTACTCTGGGATCTACAGCCTCAGTCCTGGATCTACAGCCTCAGTCCTGGGTCTACAGCCTCAGTCCTGGTTCTACAGCCTCAGTCCTGGATCTACAGCCTCAGTCCTGGATCTACAGCCTCAGTCCTGGATCTACAGCCTCAGTCCTGGAGCTACAGCCTCAGTCCTGGTTCTACAATCTCAGTCCTGGATCTACAGCCTCAGTCCTGGATCTACAGCCTCAGTCCTGGTTCTACAATCTCAGTCCTGGTTCTACAGCCTCAGTCCTGGATCTACAGCCTCAGTCCTGGTTCTACAGCCTCAGTCCTGGATCTACAGCCTCAGTCCTGGATCTACAGCCTCAGTCCTGGATCTACAGCCTCAGTCCTGGATCTACAGCCTCAGTCCTGGTTCTACAGCCTCAGTCCTGGATCTACAGTCTCAGTCCTGGATCTACAGCCTCAGTCCTGGATCTACAGCCTCAGTCCTGGATCTACAGCCTCAGTCCTGGGTCTACAGCCTCAGTCCTGGATCTACAGCCTCAGTCCTGGATCTACAGCCTCAGTCCTGGTTCTACAGCCTCAGTCCTGGATCTACAGCCTCAGTCCTGGGTCTACAGCCTCAGTCCTGGATCTACAGCCTCAGTCCTGGTTCTACAATCTCAGTCCTGGTTCTACAGCCTCAGTCCTGGTTCTACAGCCTCAGTCCTGGATCTACAGCCTCAGTCCTGGTTCTACAATCTCAGTCCTGGTTCTACAATCTCAGTCCTGGTTCTACAATCTCAGTCCTGGTTCTACAGCCTCAGTCCTGGATCTACAGCCTCAGTCCTGGTTCTACAATCTCAGTCCTGGTTCTACAGCCTCAGTCCTGGGTCTACAGCCTCAGTCCTGGATCTACAGCCTCAGTCCTGGTTCTACAGCCTCAGTCCTGGATCTACAGCCTCAGTCCTGGTTCTACAGCCTCAGTCCTGGATCTACAGCCTCAGTCCTGGTTCTACAGCCTCAGTCCTGGTTCTACAGCCTCAGTACTGGATCTACAGTCTCAGTCCCGGATCTACAACCTCAGTCCTGGATCTACAGTCTCAGTCCTGGATCTACAGCCTCAGTCCTGGATCTACAGCCTCAGTCCTGGATCTACAGCCTCAGTCCTGGTTCTACAGCCTCAGTCCTGGATCTACAGCCTCAGTCCTGGATCTACAGCCTCAGTCCTGGATCTACAGCCTCAGTTCTGGATTTAGAGCCTCAGACCTCGGATCTACAGCCTCAGTTCTGGATCTTCAGCCTCAGTTTTGGATCTAGAGCCTCAGTCCTGGTTCTACCGCCTCAGTCCTGGTTCCTTGCCGATACAGGAGGGTCTCAGGACAGTGATGATCCCAGACATTTAGGGACACTTACTAACATTTATTGACAGTGTTCATCCCACTATGGACTAAAGGCTCCTATGTGTTTGGTATTTTTATATTTACTGAGTTTGAATTGTTTGATTCTCTGATCTGTTTTTCTCCCGATCAACTGCTGCTGTGATTTAGGGCGATACACAAATACATTGAATCGAACTGATGCTCAGCGTGATCAGGAGGACCTTCACTAGGGGATTTCACACCTGCTGCATGTTTGTGTATCTGTCAGGACCTGATACAACACAACATCATGATAAGTAACACAACTGTATCTGCACTTTAGAAGAACACTGAAGAGATCTGCCTCACACAGCAGCTGATCCTGGTCTGACGAAAAGTCTTTGAAGAGAGTTTTTATAGTGTCCTTAACCATTCTAACAAAGTCGCTGGTCTCTCTCTTTCTCTCTGGTCTTTCTCCAGTCCCTCTTACTCTGTTCTCTCTCTGGTTTCTCTTGTCTCTCTCCTTAGTCTCTGTAGGAGCCATTTAGGGTTTTAGTTTTTCTGTGTGATTGTGACTGGTACATGCACGCGCATATAGTATCATGCACGGCTGCACTGTGGGTGTGGTTGTCTATTTAGTGCACGCGCTCACTTCAGCTGTGTGTGTGTGTGTGTGTGCCTGTGTGTGTGTGCCTGTGTCATGGCGGTGGGGTGAGCTGGGGAAGGAACTTTCTGTTGACCGCATGTTTCCATCAATTAAATATCTGCACTGTCTTAATGAGGTATCTTCATCTTCATCATACATAGCAACGTTCCCAGTAAGTGCCTGATTCATTTCTACTCTCCGCAATAAACTTCATAATACTGTGCAATTTCTCCGACTGCGCGTCATCAGTGCTCCCTTGCTTAGCCCGCCGTGGCGTCATAGATTAAGTTTTGCCCTCCCATACGCCACTATAGTCTCTCTGGTCTCTTTCTCTGACCTCTCTCTGGTCTCAAATATTTTTCTTTCTCGTCTCATAGTCTCTCTCTTGACTCTCTGGTTCTCGGATCTTTCTTTCTCGTCTCTTTGGTCTTTGGGCATCTTTGGAAGATGCCCATTCTTATTGGAAAAAAGCCGTGAAATTAATATGAAATTTGAATAAAGAAAACAAAGTTATTTGACAATACTTGGCTTCATACAAACTCCCATCCTGGTTTCGACATCAGCAGCAAATGTGACACATTCGCAGTCAGGTGTATTTCCACAAAGTCAATAACCGAATAGTGTGTGTACGTGCGTGCGTAGGTGTACTGTATGTGTGTACACGTGTGTTTGTGTTTATGCATGCCTCTGTGTGTGTATGTATGTGTTTGTGTGTGTGTGCGTCTGTGTAAGTTAGTAAGTAAAAGATAAAGTTTATTTGTATAGTGCCTTTCATAGACAAGGATCACAAAGTGCTTCACAATTTAGTTTTAATTGTGTGTTTGTGTGTGTATGTGTGTGTGTGCGTGTGTGTGCGTGTGCGTGCTACAGCTGAGATGATGGAGGAGATAAGTTGAGTTTGTGCCACTTAAGTTGTAAGCTGAGGCTGTGGTTTAGTGTTGGTGGATACATAGTACATCCTGCATATATCTGACAGCGCTCAGGACCCCAGGTGCTGCTCCGGTTGCCTGCTCTCTATCAGGTTCTCATACAGAGGAGGCTTTGGCACAGCTCTCCGGTGGGCCCTCGCACTCCTGCTGCAGCTCAAATAGGCCACAGGAAGAGGAAGTGTGCTGCTGCTGTTGTGCAAGATAGAACTATTTTTGTCACTGAAGGCTTTGTGTAGTAGTAGAAGTAATAGTAGTAGTAGTAGTATCAGAAGTAGTGTAGAAAAAGTAATGGGAGTAGTAGTAGAAGTAGCATTAGAAGAGGTAGCAATAATAGCAGCAGTAGTAGTAGTAGAAGTAGTAGTAATTATTAATTAAGAAATCCATTTTTTTAGACACACACACACACAAACACTATACACACATGCACACATACACTATAAACACACACACCTCTGCCTAATCAAAACATTGTCCTGTTGACGTCTGTGGGAAACAGTTGTAGGAGAAATGCATTTGGAAACTTCACAACATCTGGGCTTATTGTGGATCCGACACACACACATACACATACACACACACACCCACACACACATTGTGGTCTAGCCGGCACACTTCATCAGAGATCCTGGAGCGGTCCGGTTCTTCCATAGAATCCACAAAAGCCTGCTCCGTTCTGCAGGATTACACCAGGAGCCGGTGCCAGGCTGCCGTGGCATTCTGGGCCGCCTCTTCCATCCTTGAAATATTTGCCAAATGAATATCTGAAACCGTAATTAAATTTATCCCACCTCTACACCTTCTGTAGACCGTCCACCTTGCGGATTTCGCACATGCCATATTTATGCTGATTTTTTTTCAGAGAACTGGGAGAAAAAACACACACAGATTGTCAACATATTTTAATGATTTGGAAAGAGATCATATTCAGGGATGGTGTGTGTTTTGACGGAGCTCCTGCAGACGTAAATACATTTAGCATTTCCAACAAAAGGCGAAAATTGCAATAAGAATAAGACCAGAGTGAGACCAGAGAGAGAGAGAGCAGAGAAAGAGACCAGAGGGAAACCAGAGCGAGAGCAGATAGAGAGGCCAGAGAGAGACCAGAGAGACAGACCGAAGAGAGAGGAGAGAGACATCAGAGAAACGGACCAATGAGAGAGCAGAGAGACAGACCAAAGAGAGACCAGAGAGAGACCAGAGAGAGACCAGAGAGACCAAAGAGAGACCAGAGAGAGACCAGAGAGAGACCAGAGAGACCAAAGAGAGACCAGAGAGAGAGACCAAAGAGAGACCAGAGAGACCAGAGGGACAGACCAGAGAGAGACCAGAGAGACCAAAGAGAGACCAGAGAGACAGACTAAAGAGAGACCAGAGAGAGACCAGAGAGACCAAAGAGAGACAAGAGAAAGAACCACAGAGAGAGACCAGGGAGAGAGGCCAGAAAGAGACCAGAGAGAGCAAAAAGAGGAACCAGAGAGAGTGCAGAGAGAGACCAGGGAGAGGTTGTTATCGTCCTCTGAACATTCTCCTCACTTGCCATATGAATGCTGTTTATTGGGAAACAAATGACAAAACACACATACAGATAGTCACCATATTAAAATGATTTGAAAAGAGCATTCTATACCGCTAGTGTGTATTATGAGTCTTCACAGATGTAAATACAAAATAAAAATCTAAAAAGGGCTAAAATATGCGGTGAAATGTGTGGCGTTTGGCACGACCGTAACCGAGTGGCTCCTAATGCGCGAACAGATGACTTATGATTAATTTAAACATGCAACATTTAAAGCCGCGTTAGTGAGAGCGAGGTGCGCGTCACAGATGGTAATGATTTATTAAAAGATCACAGCGCGCACGCCACCATCACTCACCTTAATGCGCTCCAGAACACAACCATGGCGCGGTTATGAAGCGCTCAGACCGGACGAGGCGCAACTGTTTTGACACGATTTATCTGATTCTGAGATGAATTGCTGTTTTCTTTCGTTACAATGGGTTTTTATATTGTTAACGTCTAGGTGTTCTCTGCATTCAACCCATCTTACATTGTCCCTCGGGCCTCTGTCAGTGGTCGCCGTAGTTACAGGGGACCATCTCCAGAATTTGATGCTCTTGGTCAGGATTAGAGCTGGAAGATTTTAACTATAGTACATGCTTTTTATTCAATTTTGGTTCATGTATGTATGTATAGCTCTAAATAAACAACAATAGTTATCTCAGAGGACTTATCAAACCTAGATCAGAGACTCAAACAGTTCAATCAAAGGAAACACAATGATAAAAAATTCAGAAAGAGCCATTGGTCCATAAGGGGCAGATGACCGATGTCCGTAAATGTCGTTGATTGTTGAACGACTTGGATCATCACAACTGTCCTTTCACCCTCCTGCATTGGCAAGAAAAAACTAAATAAAAAACGTGAGAAGCCTCAAGGAGGACCTTCTTGTAGAGGGGTTATAATGAGTTCAAGCTTTTCTTATTCATGTCAGTTGTTTTTGAAGAATCTGAATGATTGCACTCGTTTCAGGACGATTTTCAACACATTATTTCCACCACAGGGGTACCGCTGCGGGGGGGGGGCTTCTATTGTCACTGTGGCATTTAAACTTTATTTGTATGGAACATTCCACCAACATGAAGTTTCCAGAGTGCTGCACGGACAAACGCACCTGCAGACATTCACGTGCCACTGTGGCATGTGGTAATACAGCCGTGAGTCAAGACCAAAAGCAACTCAGCCCTACTTAACTCTTCTCTACTCTAGTCTACTTCACTATACTATACTTTGCTCTACTCTACTTTACTTTGCTCTAGTCTAACTGGTTGTATTTCTGCTTTAGTATCTGGTAGCGTATTGTAGCAACCTTCCTATAACAAACCATTATCCTGGGAAATGTCTTTGTCACAATGGCTTCCAGCAGCACTCGGGCCATTCACTGTCAGTTAGAACACTTTAGTACCAGCTCAGCCTCGATAGAACCAGGGCCAAATGGGACTAAAGAAGGACCTGGCATGGGTTAAACAAGGCCAGTGGACATGCTCCCAGTCAAGTAGAGTTCAGTCGAGTCAAGTTTAGTTCAGTCCAGTAGAGAAGAGCTGAATAGAGAAGAGCCGACAAGAGTAAAGTAGACTAAATTAGTGTAGGACAGAGTAGAGTACACTCTCAGAAATAAGGGTACGTTAGGAGACCATTTTTGTACTCATAGGTACAAATCTAAGGTACATTATTGGTTTAGGTAAGGTACAGAATTGCCACCAACAAGGTACACAATTGTCCCAGGAAGGTACAATATACAAGGGTACATAAATGTACCCCATATTAGGGGTACATATTTGTCCTTGTGAGGTGTCTGCCCCAGTGACAAGCGATTGCACTCCTATGAGGACAAATCCGTACCTTTATTTCTGAGAGTGTATGGGCTTAGTCTACTCTTGTAATGTAAGAATAGAGGAGAAATTGTGTTTTATACCTAGATCAATCATTTTATTCCACATATTTACGACACAGGATTTGGATCAGGTATTTCTTTGTGTTGTCTGTAATCCCCCGCCTTCACATTTCAAAGTTCTCTTCAGAGTTTCTCCTCGCCTTCCACGCATCACGCTGATAAAAGCGTTCAGTCAAGAGAGATAATCAGGGCCACCTCATTATTTTTTACAATTAATAAGTGGTTTAGCGCGGTCGCCTGCTTCTGTCGGCGCCGCCCTCGTCCTCGGCCTCCTCTCTGCGTTCACGACATGATTTAAGTCCTCTGCGTGCTCCCCTGTGCGCACACATGCCGGGGCGAGATGATAAACATACATTATGACTAATAACCAGCACCAACGGCGTTTGGACAGGGTGACAAAATGGCGGTCGCAGTGAGCATCGTGGCTAACCTGGAGTGTTCAGATGGCTACACGCATCGCTCACACCTGGATGCGCCGTGCTGATTACCTGGCTCCTCGGGCCCCGTCGGAGAGCGAGGCGCTGATGCACGACTTGGTTGATATTTACAGCTATTAAAAGTTGGAATTTGAAATCGCTTCATTTGTGCTCAGTAGTTTGAGCTAAAGCCGAGGTCGAGTTTAAAACAGAAGAGCTGGTCGGGAGGCGGAAGTAGAAAACTTTTCTTCAGGAAGACCTTTCACCAGTCCTACTCTACTCTTGTCTACTCTGTTGTGTCACGCAGTGAAACAAACGGCCCAAAATGCAGGAATTACAAAAATAATGATTTATTGATGATAGAAATAAAAGTCCAAAGTAAAAACAAACTCAAAATCCAAGAATAACCAGGAACATGGACACACATAGACAGACAAATACAGACAGAGACAATGGACCAGCATAAAAGGGTACATATACACACACCGGTGAAACACATTCGGGCACGGTAGACAGAGAACTGCAGTCTAAATAAAAATAAAAATTTCACACCATGACACTTCTCTACCCTGCCCTAATCTACTCTACTGTACTCCCATGGTCATAATATGTTTTGAATATTTACAATCTGAGTATGTTTTTGTCAATTAAACATACTTAAAAGAAAGCTCCGTGAGTGCGTGGAGGGGGAGCAGAAAGAGCGAGGCCAGCGCTCACATTCGAAAATTAGACAAAGTGAGTATGTGCAGCTTTAAGAGAGGGACTTGCTTGGCCTCACAACTATGTCACACTCCCAAACTTTACTCTGGTGAAAAGTGCAGAGAAAGTGGGTGGTCCTCTCTTTCACTTTTCTCCCTAAAAAAGTTGATCTAAAGCCGTGACCGAGGCCAAACTAATTATAAAAGCACAGAGCGAATATAAGGAGTGGACTGGCAGAGTGTGACATCACCATAGTGCTAGCCTCAATGCGGAAGAAGCTAATTTGAACATAAGCCAGTTGGAGCCAGTTCCCTTATATGGGCATTTGTTTAGAGAGTGTTAGCTCTGAGCGGTAACATGTGTAGCTAAGACAGTTACCAAGGCAAGATGGAGTTTTCTCCGTGAATGAAGGTATTTGATTGGTTCAATACTCATATCTGGTGGTTTTACAAAGACAATATCACAATATAAACACCTGGATCACAGAGGACGTAAACCAAAATGTTTTGTAGTCCACAATGGTGGGTGTGGCACAAACGGTTACTGAGCTGGTAGAGTTTACTTTTCCATGTAAGCCAAAAGGAGCCAGTGCGAGTTGGAGCAAACTATTGGGCTTCATTGAGCTATATACAGTCTAAGGCTGGAAGCAAACTAGTTGGAGAGTGAGGAACCAGTACCCCAGCTTCAAATCCACACAAAGAGGACGGCCTAAACCAGTCAAAGTTACATTCAGACTTTGAGCACTTCTTTGCACTATTCAATCCGATAGACCGAGGGAGCGATGATAATGTCCTAATGTAGCCACAGCCGCCCTGGGGTGGACCAGTGCAAATGTCGATGCCAACCTATATCAAATACTAACACACATGAGCTTATCTTTGGGGTACTTCCAAAGCAGGGTGCTGCTCTGGAGCCTGTATTCCCCAAGGAGAAACGGGCAGTAATGTATCTCACAGCTCAGACTCCAAACTACAGTCCAGTCTAATAGACAGATGATTATTCTTTCAGCCTGTGAATAAGAGAGGGATCAAGGCAAGGTAAGTATAGCAACAAAACTCAAAGTAATAAACTGAAAAAAATGAAAAGAGAGACCAGAGAAATCCAAGATTAACCGATTCCTTATTTATCACACAGTGGGAAAATTTCAGACCAGACCAGAGACCGGAGCAAGATCAGAGAGCGACTAGCAAGTTTAACCATTTCGACCAAAAGGCTAGCACCCTTTTAAAAAAAAAGAACTTCTGAAAATGTACTTTAGTCAGTTTAATCCTGTTCTTACAGTTGTATGTTTATTGTTATATTTGTTTTTTGTTTAGATTGTTTAAATATTACTCAGAAGGGATTGAGATAACATGCATCTGAACCTATTGCATAATAATGTTGATGATAATCAAGTGACATGTTCTGACCAGCTCTGGTTCTCCTGGTCTTGTGCTGTAGAACTAGTGGCTCTATTTCTGCAGGGCTACTGTCCAGAGACCAGAGAGAGACCAGAGAGAGACCAGAGAGAGACCAGAGAGAGACCAGAGAGACCAGAGAGAGACCAGAGAGAGACCAGAGAGAGACCAGAGAGAGACCAGAGTGAGAGACAAGAGAGAGAGACCAGAGAGAGACCAGAGAGAGACCAGAGTGAGACGAGAGAGAGACCAGAGAGAGACCAGAGAGAGACCAGAGAGAGACCAGAGAGAGACCAGAGAGAGACCAGAGTGAGACCAGAGAGAGACCAGAGAGAGACCAGAGAGAGACCAGAGAGAGACCAGAGAGAGACCAGAGAGAGACCAGAGTGAATTTACAGAAAGCTGATGGACTTCAATAAAAACAAAGTTGAGAAAATCCTCCTTCGTAAAAGCTGTAGTTCCTTGTCAGTTGAGGACAAGTTGTTTTAGTGAACACTGAGGTCTAGGGCAGGGGTGTCCAAACATTTCAGTAACATTTTAGTTCACCAGACTAGTCCAGGCAGGGCCGACGTTACAGACTGAAACTTTAAAAGGATCTATAGCAGAGCTGAAGTAGGCTGAACTACAAATGTTTATGTCAGGTGACACAGGTTTAAAACCGACAACGCCACCTATAGGAATCCTCTAAAAACACTTAAAACAAGGCAAGCAGTGTAACCAATCAAAAAACCCTTAGGATGATCTTAACTCACTGACTGCCAGGCATTTTCAGATTTGAGAAGTGCATTCTGCCAGCAATTTCAGGTGATTTGACCCAACTTTGAAGTGCCACAGAATATTCATTTTTTAGACGATGTAAACACCAAGGGCACCAAATTAAAGATTCACCTCTCTGCTTTACTCTGAAAAAAACAGTTTGTTTCTACCTCTTACCGTTCTTGCGTTATTCGCCATAGAACAAAGCATACTTTCACCCATAACACCTGGTCTGAGCAAGAAAACAGAGAAAAGGAGCTGTATGTAAACAGGAACATATCAAGCAGAAAAGAGACTTTTAGATGCATTTTTGCTGCTTTAGTGACAACTCAAAACATCTTCACACTTGTTCCATTACAAACATTATAAAAACATGACTCTGAAATAATACTTTTGATGGCAAATTGTTGGCAATTTATTCACAGATAGAAAATTTAACTTTCTTCTATACCATCAACCAAAACGTCAAACAACAACAACACAAAGATCAATAAAACTATAGATGTATAAAATAGAATGAAGCATGTGAATTTGAGTGTGTGTGTGTGTGTGACTGTCAGTGTGCGAGTGAGTGTGTGTCTGTGTGAGTGAGTGTCTGTGTGTGTGAATGTCAGTGTGCGAGTGAGTGTCTGTGTGCGTGAGTGAGTGAGTGAGTGAGTGCGTGTGAGTGTTTGTGTGTGTGTCCGATAAATCATGATCAGGTTTGCTGAACGAATCCGAGGCATCAGTAACAACAGCAGCTGATACGCTGCGAGAGGCGGAAGGTGTGTCTCTGCTCTTGCTCCGCGCAAATGTGGCTGCAGAGACGGACCTCCACCGGGGTCTCCACTCTCTCCCCTCTCGACCTCACTCACTGATCCGCGAGTCAATCTCTGAAGCAGTGTACACTGCTTATAACTATTCTTTTTCGCCATCACTCTTGCTATACTATCGCTAAACTAGATCGCTGATCTGTCTCAATGCTACGCTATCATCGCTCTGCTACAGCAGCTCGCTCTGCTCAGCAGCACGCTCTCTCACACTCCCACGCTCCTCCTCCTTCTCTCCACTGACTTATGACCTCTCCTGTGGTGCAATACTGCATCCTACTGGTGGTGATTTATCATTACAGGTACATTTGCACTATATATCAGTGTTGTGGGTCATTAACAAGGTGCGCCAGACATTACTGCAGCCTCCCGTGTAATAACACGAAAAACTCGTCAAACTCGTCATGGGCAGTGAGCGTCACTATTCAACATGACGAGTTTTGTCGTCATGGGCAGTGAATGAGTTAAGAAATAATTTATTACAAAAACTAAAAACAGTGGATAATGATGCCAATAAGAAAATAAAATAGGAGCTCGTTAAAACTGGTGGGGGTGTGGACGGCCGGCTTGCACGTGGGCTGGTTCCAGCTGTGTTGTGGCGGAGTCTCTGTGGGGCAAACAAAGCCAGAGGCAGTAACGCGTTCCTTTGATCGTATAGGGCTCAGAGTCATGCAAAGTGTATCCCGCCAGAGTACTAGAGCGTTACTTACACGCAGGGGCAGAGTTACTCTGCCCGCCTGCTGTGATCAGCGTCGTACTCTGGCTTCCCTGGATGGTGGCGGAGCCGGGACTGGTCCTCCGGCTGGCAAAGCCGCTGAGGAAGACAAAAACTCAAGGCAGTCACTTGGCCCCAGACACCAAACACGGCGGCAGCAGCAGCTCGTCCAAATTACACCAGAGCACTAATTCAGCGTTACTTACGCGCAGGGGCAGAGTTACTCTGCCCGCCTGCTGTGATCAGCGTCGTACTCTGGCTTCACCGGTGCTGCCGTCTTCGATCTGTCGCTCCTCCTGCTCTCCGTAGTCCTGCCCGTGCCCTCGTCAGCCAGACCGTTCTCTCTTCATGCCCCGCTCCTCGTGCTCTTAATGTCTCACTGTCCAATAAAATCCACCCCCCACGCCACCAGCACCCCAGCTCATTGGGTAAAACTAGGTTAACAAGGTCTGTCACAGGTGCGAGGGTCCAGGCAATTCAAACAGGAAGTAAAAAGCACCACAATATACAAATAGTAAAACACTTCAAAATAAAAGTACAAACACACAGCAACGTCAAATGTGCAAATTTATCATCCTGTGACATCCCCCCCTACTTTATGGGTGGCAGTCCCTGTCACCTTAGTCCCCATCTGGGCTAAAACGAGCTGGTGGCAGCCCAAAGTTTGACCTAGCTGAGCGCCGGGGGCTGGGTGGCTGCGCCGGTGGCCGCTCTGGTGGGTCCACAAGGGGATTAAACAAGAAACAGTGGTAGGGTCCTTGGCCTTGCGTGGCAGTCTCCGGGGGGCCATCAAGAGTCTGTTCAGAATCCTCGGGAACGGGTCCAACGCAAGGTTTCAAGGAGTTCCTATGGAGAGACTTTTCCCTTCCCCCTTTCTCTGGCCTAACTTTATAGACAACCCCAGCGTCCCCAATCCGCCCTAACACTACATGGGGTTCTGGATCCCAGCCTGGGTGAAGCTTGCCCTGACCCTTACGGTTCCGGTCTCTGACCCACACTCGCTCGCCGGGGGCTAACGGAAGGGCATTCGCTTTTCGGTCATAGATTCGCTTGTGATTACCTGCCACTTTTTCTATGTTCTGCCAGGCCAGATTATAAGCGAAAGAGAGTTTTTGATGGTGGTCTCTAACCCATCCCTGCAGGTCATAACGCGGCGGCTGTCTGCTCACACCTAGACTTAGGTCCACAGGTTGTCGCAAGTGCCTGCCAAACATTAAAAAGGAGGGCGCATAGCTGGTGGCGCCATGGGCAGTATTATTATAAGCTGCCAAAAGTTCAGGTAAATACTCCGGCCACCTGTGCTGTCTCTCAGCCTCGAGCGAGCGCAACATGTTTAGCAAGGTTTGGTTCATTCTCTCTACGCTACCATTACCTGCAGGATGGTAGGGAGTGGTCCTACTTTTGCTGAGGCCATAAAGGTGACATAGCTGCTGAACCAGGGCCGACTCGAAGTTAGCACCCTGGTCTGAGTGGAACCTGGCAGGGCAACCAAAGACCTGGATTACAGTAGCCCACATAGCCCGTACAGTAGTCTCTGCGGTTTGGTCCTTGGTGGGGACTGCCCAAGCATAGCGAGTAAATTGGTCGGTCATGACTAGGATATTTTGGAAGCGGTCAGTGTCTCTGCCTAGAGTCAGATAGTCAATGCCTATGACCTCTAATGGGTAAGTGGCAATGAAAGGATGTAGCGGGGCCCTCGGCTGAGCCCTGTTTTGTAAACTGCAGGCGACACACCCCTGTTGAAATTGACGCACCTCCATGTCCATGCCCGGCCAGTAAAAGAACTGTCGTATCCTGGAGAGCGTCCTTTCAGTTCCTGCATGGGCGGCGGCTTCGTGATACCTTCTCCAGACCTCATGGCGCTTGTCAGTAGGGCATACGACCTGGACATATACCTCGAAGGTTTTGGGGTCTTGGACCCTCCTGCACAATACCCCATCTACCACTTGCAGTTTTTCCCATTGTTGTAGCAGTTTTTGGGCTTTTGCCGGTAATGACCGCCTAGTTGGTCTATCAGGCATTGATCTTGCATCCACATACCCGGCCACTGTGTGGATATCGCAGTCCGCGCCTTGCAAGATCCTCCAGTCCTCCTCCAAGTGTAACCCCAGCTCCTGAGTTGTGGGGGCCATCTCCAGAGCCGCAGTGAGCCGAGCCACCTCACCGCTTAGTTCTGTGGAGGGATTGGCGGGGAACCTGGAAAGGGCATCGGCATTAACATTTTCCCGGCCAGCACGGTATTTAACCTGGTAATTGAAAGAAGCAAGCTGGGCAACCCAGCGTTGCTCTACAGCACCCAACCGGGCTGTTGATAAATGGGCAACAGGGTTATTGTCTGTGAAAACCGTAAACTTGGCTCCTGTCAAATAGTCTTTAAATTTTTCAGTTACGGCCCATTTCAACGCCAAAAGTTCCAATTTAAACGAACTGTAATTTGCGTCATTCCTTTCGGTGGGGTGCAAGCTCCGACTGGCATAAGCGATCACTCGTTCCCAATCATCTTGTACTTGTGCCAAGACAGCACCCAGGCCTTGGTGGCTGGCATCTGTGTACACAACAAATGGCTTTGTGAAGTCAGCATAGGCCAAGACAGGTGGTTGGGTCAAGGCAGATTTTAATTTTGCAAAAGCAGCTTGACACTCTGGGGACCACTGAATTGGAATCTCTGCCTTATTCTTGACGGAAACACCCGCCAGGAGGGCCGTTAATGGCCGGGCGATTTTAGCAAAATTTGGTACAAAACGTCTATAGTAACCGGCTAAGCCAAGAAAGGCTCTGACCTCCCGTACAGTCACTGGTGCAGGCCAGTCTAAAACGGCAGAGAGTTTATCTGGATCAGGTCTTACCCCAGCCTTGTCAACCACATGGCCCAGAAACTTCACCTCGTGTTGGAACAGTTTACACTTGTCCATTCTGAGTTTGAGTCCATGTTGCCACAATCGTTGGAAGACCTCCTCCAGATGCTGTAAATGAGCAAAAAAATCAGGGGAGTAAATGATCACGTCGTCAAGGTACACCAACAGAGACTCGGTTATCTGCCCACTTAAACACTGTTGCATCAACCGTTGGAAAGTAGCAGGTGCATTGCAGAGGCCAAAAGGCATACGCTCAAACTCAAAAAGGCCCATTGGTGTAGTGAAGGCAGTTTTCTCTCGGTCTCTTGGGTCCATCTCAACATGCCAGTACCCACTTGCCAAATCTAATGTAGAGAACCATTCTGCTTTGGTTAAACTAGTCAAAGTTTCTTCAATTCGAGGAAGTGGGAAAGCATCCTTGTGGGTAACAGAATTAAGCTTCCTATAATCCACACAGAACCTCCAACTGCCATCCTTTTTCTTAACTAGGACTATGGGTGCGGCCCAGGGGCTACAGCTTTCACGTATCACCCCTTTCTCCAGCATATCTGCGAGCAAGGCCTTGATCTCCTTATACATGGAAGGTGGTATAGGTCGGTACCTTTCTTTGGTGGGAGGGGCGTCTGCCGTGTGAATACGATGCTGAACCAAGTCAGTCCTCCCAAAATCCTCTTCATTTGTAGCAAAAACCTTTCTCCACTTCTGGAGCAGAGCCTGGAGCTCCAGCTGTTGTTGATGGGTCAAATGAGGGCAGTCAACGAGCTTGTTCACCCCCTCTTCGGTGTGTTCCTCTTTGGAGTCCGGAGTGTCCACTAGGCCAACCTCTACGACACCATCCGGACCCATGGTCAGGCTCAGGTCACGGGCTCCCTGAACATCACCCTCCTCCACGTGGTATAACCGGCCCAGCTTCTGATAGCGTCCTATATAGACTGGGTACAATTGTGGGTTACAGACACGGACAGGGACCCTCCCGCCTCGCACCACAGATAGGGTTCTGGCTATTCCCCATGCTTCCGCTTCGTAGCCCAAAAACCCATCTCCCGGTGGTGTCGCGATGGTCCTCCGGCACACAGCAAACGCTTCTCGCCACACCTGCTGGGACTCCCATCTCTTGGGGGAGAGAGCTGGCTTCCCCTGCTTAAAAACAGCATCCCAACATGCACCAATCACATTCATTCCAATGAGCAGTGGATGAGTAGAGCAGTCATCCTTGACAATAACAACACCCTTCTCCGGGATCTTTACGCCTTCCACCTCAAAGTCCATTATTGCATAACCAGAATATGGTATGCTAAGGCCATTTGCCGCCCGGAGCGTTAACACCAAGGGGGCTGTACCCTCCTCAACTTGAGAAAAATGCTGTTTCATAACTTTTTGTTGAATTAGTGTAACTTGTGAGCCTGTGTCTAATAGCCCCATCATTTTCACCCCACCAACACAAACTTCAATGGTTGGGCATTTTCCAACAAATTGAGTGGTGGCCCCCTGATGGTTAGCATCAGGGGCAATCCCTACTGCTTGGGCCTCAGCAGCAGGGGGGGCTAGTTTAAAGATTGTGTATTAGAGGAATTTCTGCAAAATCTTGACATATGTCCTGCCTGTTTGCACTGCCTGCATATTGGTTTGCCATCGGTTGTCCATTCATTAGAATTACTCCGACCTCCTTGCCTTGGTCTGGGTTGATAGCGCCTAGGGGAATGGTCTAGCCCAGAGTGTTGTACAAGCGGTTTTATTTCATTAATGATTTCTTGAGCAAGTCCTTTCATCTGGTCTTTAACATCGCTCAGAATTTCTTGTTTTAGGGCTTCCCTCCAACTAGGTGTAGGCGGTGTGAAATGTCGAGACTCACCCACAGCAGCGGCGCATGTCGTATCAATACCTCCTTGTCCACGCTGTTCTTGTTCCAGAAGCAAGGCCTCATTGTGTATGGCAGTGAAATCCAGGTCAGGATTTCGGCGTACATATGTTCGGAGGGTTTGAGACAGCGGCCCTTCTCTTAGTCCCAGAAGCATTTGGTCCTGCAGATTGCTTTCGGAGGGTGCGTCATCAGGGCTGTGCCGCCGCAGCTTACAATACAATTCCCTTAAACGAAGGGTGAAAGATTTAACAGACTCAGTAGGTTTCTGTATGCAACCAAAAAATTTAGACCTAAGTGCAGCAATTGAAGTATTATCACCATACAGCGAGTCAAGGTACGTAAACATTTTCACACTTGTGTCCCGCTCTCCAACATCTAATACATTAATCTGCGATTTGGCCTCTCCAGCTAAAGCTCCCAGTAGAAGTCCAGTTTTCCTAGGTTCAGTCAGATCCTGTGCATTTAAAATTCCACACATTTGTTCCTTCCAGTCCCCATACTTTATGTCACTGTTTGGCCCATGAAACTTTGGTAACCATGGTGCACCGGGATAGATTGGCATCATCATCATTTTACCACCAATAGACTACAAAACCTACAACAAAACAGTTTTTTTGATTGTTACACTGCTCGTGCTTGAGTCCTGCCAGCAACGCCAAATTATGTCAGGTGACACAGGTTTAAAACCGACAACGCCACCTATAGGAATCCTCTAAAAACACTTAAAACAAGGCAAGCAGTGTAACCAATCAAAAAACCCTTAGGATGATCTTAAGAAATAATTTATTACAAAAACTAAAAACAGTGGATAATGATGCCAATAAGAAAATAAAATAGGAGCTCGTTAAAACTGGTGGGGGTGTGGACGGCCGGCTTGCACGTGGGCTGGTTCCAGCTGTGTTGTGGCGGAGTCTCTGTGGGGCAAACAAAGCCAGAGGCAGTAACGCGTTCCTTTGATCGAATAGGGCTCAGAGTCATGCAAAGTGTATCCCGCCAGAGTACTAGAGCGTTACTTACACGCAGGGGCAGAGTTACTCTGCCCGCCTGCTGTGATCAGCGTCGTACTCTGGCTTCACCGGTGCTGCCGTCTTCGATCTGTCGCTCCTCCTGCTCTCCGTAGTCCTGCCCGTGCCCTCGTCAGCCAGACCGTTCTCTCTTCATGCCCCGCTCCTCGTGCTCTTAATGTCTCACTGTCCAATAAAATCCACCCCCCACGCCACCAGCACCCCAGCTCATTGGGTAAAACTAGGTTAACAAGGTCTGTCACAGGTGCGAGGGTCCAGGCAATTCAAACAGGAAGTAAAAAGCACCACAATATACAAATAGTAAAACACTTCAAAATAAAAGTACAAACACACAGCAACGTCAAATGTGCAAATTTATCATCCTGTGACATTTACCATCTCAACAGCTACAGTAGCACCATTAAGAAGTTTGTGACACAATCAAAAACCAAATCATTAAACTATGTGTAAATAAAGTCAACCAAAATTCCAGACGTACTGGGCTTTAGAACGAGGTACAACGTCTATATTAGCTGAGCTGGAGTTGGATGGATGACACAGTGAACTTGTGTTTATGATCTCAAAGACTACTTTTGGTTAGCAAGGCAGAGGGCCATATAATATGACACTGTGGGCCGCAATTCGCCCCCGGGCCTGAATTTGGACATGCCTGGTCTAGGGGGAAATCTCCTTACAGCCCATGAAGATTAGGCTGCAGTACCGTGGGTGGCCTCTAGTCCAAGTGGAGGCTGGTGCAGCAACACCCTCCACACAACATCACACATCCATGCTTTTTCACATTAACTAAGTTTTTACCTCTCGCTGGAGTCTATTATTAGCTCTATTATTATTATAGAGATTATTAGCTCTATGGAAGGGACCCGCCTCTGCGCGCCGCTAAACCCCGCACTGCATTCATCCTCATGTCCCCCTTTGTAGCGCGCCGTCGCGAGGCCACGGCGCAGGAATTATTAGCGGCTTAGCTCCCGTGCAGAGGCCCCTCTTAAGTCGCTTTCTGCTTGTGTGTGCGAGCAACCCCCCCACTCCCCCCCCCCCCCCCCAACCCCCAGTCATGCCCTCACCCTTGAACAATCGCCTACATCACACACGGGACGCCCTGTCATCCGCTTCTCTTTATGCTAAACAACAAACGTAATATCATATGTAACAATAGTCAGACAAACGGAGAGCGTGAATCAGCACACAATTCCTGCGGCTGCGATTGTACAATTCCAACACAAAAAAAGAGAAAAACATTGTGGGGAAGGGGGAAGGGAGGGGGGGGGGGGGGGATAAAACGTTTTTTGGGAGGGCCGTGAAATCGCGTGGCACCGGTGTGTGGCTGAACGGTTGCCATGTTTGTTGACGGACTAGGGCAGATGAATGCGCTCTTAATCTGTGCCTGGACACATGTGTGCGCTTGATAACGGCGCGCCTGGCCTGGCCCGCGTGCCAGGTTAGCGCGGCGCGTTCGGGAGCCCTGCGTACGGCGAGGTGGGGGCTAATGCATGTTTTTGGACGGCGAGGTAATTCCTGACACGTTTCGGCAGGCAGATAGGGCGTCTTTATAGCGAATGACAATATATGAAGAGACACCTAGCTTACCCGCGCTTTGAGATGCTAATATTGTGTTGGGGTGGATAAACAGGCTATTTTTATTAAGAATGAGAAGTTGTGATCTAAAGCGGCTTATGTGCGGCTAAACGCGATACATTAGGTCCCAGTTAGAGCTGGTAATTTGCGAACTGGTCACTTTGGAATTAGGACATGTTATTGGAGATTTTTACTGAGAGACCAGAGAGAAACCAAAGAGAGAGTACAGAATAAAAGCCCAGAGAAAGAGACCAGAGAGAGACCAAAGAGAGAGTACAGAATAAAAGCCCAGAGAAAGAGACCAGAGAGAAACCAAAGAGAGAGTACAGAATAAAAGCCCAGAGAAAGAGACCAGAGAGAAACCAAAGAGAGAGTACAGAATAAAAGCCCAGAGAAAGAGACCAGAGAGAAACCAAAGAGAGAGTACAGAATAAAAGTCCAGAGAAAGAGACCAGAGAGAAACCAAAGAGAGAGTACAGAATAAAAGTCCAGAGAAAGAGACCAGAGAGAAACCAAAGAGAGAGTACAGAATAAAAGTCCAGAGAAAGAGACCAGAGAGAAACCAAAGAGAGAGTACAGAATAAAAGTCCAGAGAAAGAGACCAGAGAGAAACCAAAGAGAGAGTACAGAATAAAAGTCCAGAGAAAGAGACCAGAGAGAAACCAAAGAGAGAGTACAGAATAAAAGTCCAGAGAAAGAGACCAGAGAGAAACCAAAGAGAGAGTACAGAATAAAAGTCCAGAGAAAGAGACCAGAGAGAAACCAAAGAGAGAGTACAGAATAAAAGTCCAGAGAAAGAGACCAGAGAGAAACCAAAGAGAGAGTACAGAATAAAAGTCCAGAGAAAGAGACCAGAGAGAAACCAAAGAGAGAGTACAGAATAAAAGTCCAGAGAAAGAGACCAGAGAGAAACCAAAGAGAGAGTACAGAATAAAAGTCCAGAGAAAGAGACCAGAGAGAAACCAAAGAGAGAGTACAGAATAAAAGTCCAGAGAAAGAGACCAGAGAGAAACCAAAGAGAGAGTACAGAATAAAAGTCCAGAGAAAGAGACCAGAGAGAAACCAAAGAGAGAGTACAGAATAAAAGTCCAGAGAAAGAGACCAGAGAGAAACCAAAGAGAGAGTACAGAATAAAAGTCCAGAGAAAGAGACCAGAGAGAAACCAAAGAGAGAGTACAGAATAAAAGTCCAGAGAAAGAGACCAGAGAGAAACCAAAGAGAGAGTACAGAATAAAAGTCCAGAGAAAGAGACCAGAGAGAAACCAAAGAGAGAGTACAGAATAAAAGTCCAGAGAAAGAGACCAGAGAGAAACCAAAGAGAGAGTACAGAATAAAAGTCCAGAGAAAGAGACCAGAGAGAAACCAAAGAGAGAGTACAGAATAAAAGTCCAGAGAAAGAGACCAGAGAGAAACCAAAGAGAGAGTACAGAATAAAAGTCCAGAGAAAGAGACCAGAGAGAAACCAAAGAGAGAGTACAGAATAAAAGTCCAGAGAAAGAGACCAGAGAGAAACCAAAGAGAGAGTACAGAATAAAAGTCCAGAGAAAGAGACCAGAGAGAAACCAAAGAGAGAGTACAGAATAAAAGTCCAGAGAAAGAGACCAGAGAGAAACCAAAGAGAGAGTACAGAATAAAAGTCCAGAGAAAGAGACCAGAGAGAAACCAAAGAGAGAGTACAGAATAAAAGTCCAGAGAAAGAGACCAGAGAGAAACCAAAGAGAGAGTACAGAATAAAAGTCCAGAGAAAGAGACCAGAGAGAAACCAAAGAGAGAGTACAGAATAAAAGTCCAGAGAAAGAGACCAGAGAGAA